GGATTTGGAGGCCAAAGAATCCAGCTTGGCAAAGGCTGAGAAATGTCCTTCCCAGAAAATTCCCTCTGCTTTGTTGTCTCCCATTCAGCCAACGGCTCAGACTACTAGCACCTTTCTTGCAGTCTGAGGAGGAGAAGAACGCGGCTTGTGTGCCTCTGGATATTGTTGGCCCCCCACCCAAATCCCTGGCTGTGCTCCCCCAGCACTTTCCTGAAGTTGTTGAGCATGGGCACGACTAGTCCTTCTGGGGCACCAGAAGCCCCTTGCTGAAATGCTACAAAGAATCTCCTTGCCCCCCGATTTTCTTCTGCAAACACAGGAAGGATTGGAGATAGGTGGGGTTTCTGAAGGCCATCTGCCAGTTCTCCTCTCAGGACACTGAGAGTCTTTTGAAGGTGGGCGCATGGATCGTTTGATGGATCGATCCAGAAGGAAATTGGGGTTGCTTTCACTGAATGGCACTGAGAGTCTTACAGAAGCAATCAAGTTGATCAAGCCTGCCAGAAATATTTCTTGAGTCAAAAGCTTTTGGCTCTTTCCATTTTCTCACCTAAACCTTGGAATCCCACCAAGCGTTGCCATTTAACTTAGTGCGTATCTTTGCTTTGGGAATTTGTGAAGAATAGGACAGATCTTGCAAATTCTCCTGGCCTGTTCTGTTCTTTTTTTCCTTGTTCAGGAGGGTCTTGTGTCCTTCGAGGAGGTGGCTGTGTATTTCTCCAAGGAGGAGTGGTCTCAGCTGGATCCTCACCAAAAAGCACTGCATTGGGAAGTCACGCTGGAAAATTATAGGAATGTGGCCTCTCTGGGTAAGGGTTTGTTTCTCTCCCATCAGAGAGTCTGGAAAGACATTTTCTAGTTAGATGCCATCAGCTCATCTCTTGGAGGCGGGGAAGGAAAAGATCTGGCCTTCTGCTCGAAGGAAGGAAGGAGGTCAATGGCTCTCTGCTTAGATGCATCCCCTGCCATTTCTCATCTGGTAAATTTTTCCATTTCTTTTTAAAGGTATAAGTGAGAAACTCATTCCTTGGCTTGAGGAGATGGTCAACTCCATTCCACCAATTTCAGCTTTTTGGGTCCAGATGCTTCCCTGTGTGTCCTCTGAAGGATTCTCATTTATTCAGGCTGTTGGGTTCATGACTTGTCTTCCTTTTGATTTCTATCCTGAGCCTTGGGGTTAAGGGGAAAATTGTGCTGTTTTTCCATTGCAAACGTGTTGCTCGTGGTTAATACAAGAGCTCTAGAATATTTTCTCTGCAACCGTTTGATGTTGGCCAGAGAAAAATGAAGAGCAAATGTACGGCAGTTTGGGTAGGAAAAAAGGACAAATTTCAAAAATGATTTAGTTCTCACTGGTCTTTCCTGTTATTGACCGCCTTCCGATAAATGTTCGGTTTTCTCCTAAGGCCTCCCTGGATGTTTCCCCAGATTCTTCCTGAACTCAACACTGATTCTGGGTTTGATTTGACTATATAAGGGTGATTCTAAACAAACCGGATGCTGTAGATGTTTTCAAAGCTTTTATGGCTCATGAGTATAGAAATTATCATTTCTATACCATGTGATTGTAAGGATACAAATGTGCAAGATACTGGAATTTGGCAAAAATTCAGAAGGAAAATCATATGACCTCCTACGGTCTGATCTTTTCCCCCACTCTTGCTATCATGTTCATTTCTCTTTTCCTTTGAAGGTGATCATGCCTATGAGGATAAAAATCCCAGTGAAAAATTCGAAATGATCAGGCATGGAGGTGGAATGGACAAGGAACTAGAGATGCAACTAGAAGGTCATGAGAGAAGCCAGTCAAATAGTTGGAATCAGGAAAGCTCCATGGATGCTGAGACGCAAGGCTTTCTTCCCCAACAAGAAAAAATAAAGGAAAAGTATATTGGAAAAAGTGTAAGACTATTAAAAGACAGATTAGTTGTAAATGAACACTCTCCAACCCAAACCAAAGGAGAAGATTATATCTGCAGAGAGAATGGAAAAAATCACAATTGGACTTTTGTTCTTTCCTGTGAAAATGGGTCCCTTACCTCTCATAAAAGGATATCCACAGGGGAGAAGCCATGTAAATCTTTGGAATCTGGAAAGATTTTCAGAATAAGCCGACAAGTTACTTCACATGAAAGGATCCAGACAGGGGAGAAACCACATAAATGCACGGAGTGTGGAAAGAGCTTCAGGACAAGCAGTCACCTTATTGTCCATAAAAGGACCCACACAGGGGAGAAGCCCAATAAGTGCACGGAGTGTGGAAAGAGCTTCAGGACAAGCAGTCACCTTATTGTCCATAAAAGGACCCACACAGGGGAGAAGCCCAATAAGTGCACGGAGTGTGGAAAGAGCTTCAGGACAAGCAGTCACCTTATTGTCCAT